CAGGATTCATTAAATTCTCACATTTCTCCATGTTACTATTCTTTCTCTCCTACATTTCTGTGCATCATAGTTCTTCTAAATCTCTTTTTGTCTTCTCTGTTTTGTCCACCATTGTGTGTGCTACATGGGGTGTGACAGCTGGTACACTTTTGTGCTGTGCTAAGTTCTGTGTTAAAACACAGTCAGTCAGTCAGTCAATAGCCTGTTTGACGCGTCCCAGAGAATCGAATCTGTCGGTTAAAAATCACTGATTTCCGACAGACTACTTGCGTGAACTGACAGTGCTTAGTTGGTTGTTTTGTTTTCCTGATAGGTAGTTCTGTCAATTTTCCGCTTATCTTTTCCTCTCCGATTTTTTTTTCAAGTTGTAGAAAAACTAAACTGTTTGTGGTTATGTGGTAATCATCGTCATATGAAATCTGAATACTGCCTAAGGTGGTCAACTTTGTTGTCATAAGTTGTTTTGTGATAGTTGTAGTAGTAGTAGTAGTAGTGGTTATTATTATTTCCTTTAATTCCTAGAGGAACATAGGTCTTCAGCCGTGCGTCTCCATTGCGTTCGGTTCTCTGCTAAAGTTTTCACCTGGCTCCAAGTCTGCCCAAACGCTTTCATTTCCTCTTCACATGACCTCCGCCAAGTCACCCTTGCACTGACGACCAACTCGCCGCTTCCCTTTTGGGTTCCACTCGAGCAATGGATTGTCTAGTGATGTCACTCACTTGATGGTTTCCCAGAGTATGGCCAATCCATCTTCATTTCTTCCTGCCTATTTGTTGCACAATCGGTTCCTGCTTGGTTGGTTCGCTCATTGCAGAGATCCTTGTTTCTGATCTTTTCTGGCCAGCCATCTGAACTTGAGTATTGAGCGGAGATACCTGTTCATGAAGGTCTTTAGTTTGTTCGAAGTGCTCTTCATGACGTGCCGAGTCTGTGATCCGTATAGTGGACCTGACTGACTTCACAATGGAGTTGAAAATCCGGATCTTATTTTTGATTTTTGATTCCACACAGACTTGAGAGTAATGAAAGCTTGTCTTGCTTTTCCGATCCTTGATTTGGTATCCTCATCAGTTCCCCCTGCAGTTGAAACGATGCTTCCCAGGTCGGTAGGTAAAGGAAGTTGTTTCTTTCAGGTTCCTCCCATTTATGCTGGTTGATTGTTGTCCGTTGTTGTTGCTGTGGCTGTTGGTGTTGGCCAAGAATCTTCATCACCTCTGTTTTACCTATGTTCACCTGAAGGAATTCCTATCTTTGATGCTTCTTCCGCCAACTTGTTGCTTTTCACTTGCATATCTTCCAGTTTGTGGGAAATCAGACATATACATGTCATTGGCGAAGTCCAGATCCTCCAAGTTTTTTGTGTAAGTCCATTTTATGCCTGTTTCCTCATTTCCCGCTGTCTGTCGCATTATCCAATCTACCACCTGCAATCAGGAAAATCATTGAAGATAGTAGGTAGCCAGCCAGTTTGCCTTACTCCTGTGTTCATTTCGAAGGATTCTGTGAGTTTCTTGTTGTGGATTACTTGGCATGTAGCCTTGTCGTACAACTGTTGGATGAGATGTATAGTTGTTGGTGGCACCTCGTAGTAGCGAAGTAGTTGCCAAATGACCTCTCGATCGACGCTACCTTGACGAAGGCCTTTTCAAAGTCGATGAAGTTGAGAGTGAGGCAGAGAGAGGTGACTGCCATTCCAAGCTTTGTTCAATGATGATCTGTAGTGTTGCTATTTGATAGGTGCATGACTTGTTCCTCCTGAATCCAACCCGTTCCAGTCGAAGTTTTTCATCCAGGGGGGGGGGCGTGTTTGATTCTCTCCAGGATGGATGATGTGGCTTAGTATTTTGCTTGGGGTGAACAGGAGAGTAGTAGTAATAGATGTTGTGTTTCATATTCCTAGATTTATGCTGTTACGCGGACATGGCAACACCCAAACATATTAAGCTATTCTATCCATTTATTAATCTGGCATATATTGTTGTTTCATTGTATATATGTTTATTAATAAAATTGTCGTTGCAATCATGGGCCAGTGTTTGCGATTTGGTAGTTTTGTGGTTCAGTGAAACAGTGTGGTTGCAGTGGATGAATAATCGTAATTAGCGTTTAGTGTTGGTGTCTGTATTCTTATTCTTATTATTATTATCCCTTTATGTTCCAAGGGGAGCTATAGAACCTCAGCATCACGTCTTCACTTAGTCCTGTCCTCTGCGGTCCTATTCAGTCGACTCCACAGTTGCCTGTAAGCTCTTATCTTCTCCTCGCACGATCTCCTACATGTCATTCTCAGACCCCACGCTAGACTCGTCGTTTCACATTTGGGTCCCACTTGACGGGTTGTTGTAGTTGCTCAGCAGTCCTCTCGGTATATGTGTGCTATCTATCTCTATTTTCTTCGGCATGTCTATCTGATGGTCCGGTCGGAATCTCAGCTCTGGCAGAAACTATTAGTTTCTTTGCTTGTCAGACTACCTAATCTTCAGTATCTTGCGAAGAAAGGGTCAGGTGTTGATCAAAATATGCACATTGTTGACAGGTGGTATTCACATAGATATATATATTTTCAGTGTCATATATAGAATAATACATGTGCATAGAATTTGGAAAGGTATACATAATTATAAGATTAGTAGACGAATATAAAATGTTACATAAAATGGTGTGAAATTCGATAAGATAGAATTCAATATTGTAAAAATAAAAAAAATAATAATTTTGGATTTAGAATGACAAGTAGAAAAGATTCAAAGTGAGAACAGTAATAGTAATAATAACAATAATCGTTGTAATAAGCGAAAAGTACATAGAATAACTAAATAAACAAAATAAATAAATGTCTATCCCTCTTCGGCCAAGGCAGAAGTAGGCATTGTTCATACTTCTTTTGTACACAAAGACCTGTCTGGCTTAAAGTCATGAATTGCCAAAGCCTCAGCTATCTTTAGAAGTCTGTAACGAAGAAAACGCGAGAACGTACATGGAACGGATAACTAACTGATTTTTACAATTGGGTGCCTATTTCCAGGAAAAGGAACCTTATTCATTCGCTCTGCTCCAGGATATGAGAAACATTTGTAGTTCTGATTGCATTGACTCAGAACTTGACTTCTTAAAAGCCACACTCGCAGAAAATGGTTACCCTAACCGATTTATTGACAGCAACATGAAGGTAAGCAGTCTAAACTGGTCACCGACTCAGTTCCAAAGAATACGTTATTCATGAACTTGGAATTCAAAGGTGATCAAGCTTCAGACATGCTCGAAAATCGTCTCTCTAAATCAGTCAGTAAGACGTTCTTTGCAGCAAAATTACATATGACGTTCATGAGCTGCAAATTGTTCTCTGCCTCTGTAGAAGATAAGCTCCCCCATCTGGCCGCCTCTATATGCATCTATCAGTTCACGTGCTATTGTGGAGTAAGGTACACTGGCCGTAGTCAGAGGACGCTTTACACACGGATATGAGAACATATTCCAGCTGCATGGTTTTACAAGGGAGAAAGGAAGTGTGTGCGAAGTTCTATTCTGGAACACCTGATCGACTTGTGTCACTCGGTCAACCCTGACCATGATTTCAAATCATATGTATAATCCATGCTAACTTCCCGCGTTTTCTTCGTAACAGGCTTCTAAAGATAGCTGAGGCCTTGGAAATTCATGACTTTAAGCCAGACGTTTATGTACAAAAGAAGTATGTACAATCCCTACTTCTGCCTTGGCCGTAGAGGGATGGACATTTATTTATTTCGTTTATTTAGTTATTCTATGTAATTTTCCCTTATTACAACGATTATTATTATTATCATTATTATTATTAGTATTCTCACTATGAATCTTTTCCACTTGACATTTTAAACCAAAAATTATTCATTTTTATATTTTCTATGTTTACAATATTGAATTAACAAGACCCGTTGCACAAGAGGCAGTGGTCCAAGTGGTCTAGTGGTTAAGCTTTGGCGTTTGAGACTATAAGCACTGGGTTAAATCCTCAGTAGGGACAGCATCACTCACTGCGGAATGCAGGTACATCCAGCTAATGACGAGACCCAAATAGGACAAAGTGTGCACTCTAGATTCCACTACTAGTCACCACCAACTATAATTGTCTTGGATGGTTTATTGTCTGTAAGCGTTTCATGTTGTCAATCCTTTCTGGATGACCATCTGATCTCTTCAGTATTGAGTACAAGTAGCCTGTTTGAATAAAAAAAATGCTTTCAGTGACGCATGCAGCAAGTCACTGAACCATAAATAGATGTACTGACTAAACGGACATTTGTGTCAAAATTCCGAATCTTGTCCTTTATAATACTGAATGCAGCTGATTTCTACACTAACCGATGCAGGTTTGAATGCATTTCAAAAAGTTGTATAAATTTCTTCAGATTTACAGATACACGTTACTGTTGGGCTCCCTTAGAAGTAATAATAAAAATATCTTTGTGAAGTTCGTTTGTTTTTGTTACTGACTGACTGATGTGGTTTCAACATAGAACTTTGCACTGATGTGTAGCAGTTCAAGTCGCCACACTCCCTCCATGTAGCGCACAAATCAGTTGAAGAAAGTAAAAGGAAATGCAAAATAGAGACAGTAAACAGAGATATGAGACAGAAAGAATAGTAATATCGAAGAACAATGTGGTTTTATCGGGTATTATAAGTCACAAGAAGTGGATGCATCTTCGCCAGTCATTGAGAATGATCACTTTAAGCCATATCACCAATTGTCTCCAGCTGCAATTGATTTTTACCATCCCGAGGACCCCAACCAGTCAGGCAGTCTACACCTTCCTAGGTGGCTTAAACTAACTGTTGTGGATTTCATTGACTGATAAAGCCATGTTTTGGTTTCACCACCTCTGGCTCTTTTCCAACCTGATCCTATGTTAGCTAACATTGTGCCCGTTGAGGAAGTTCTTAACAGTAAAGTTTACTTTTATGTCCCCTTTTCATACATCATCATTGCATTCTTCATTCATTATTGATTTTTATTTAGTATACCAACAGAACTTGGCTTCATGGATAGTTTACTAGTCTTATTCATAAGTTGTAATCCTATTCGTTCAATTCGACAGTCAATTATTACGGTGAGTCAATTTTATTATGTTGCTTAGATTTACTTAGAATGTTAATTTTATTTAGACAAAGCAATAAGAAGCCGTAATTTATCTGTCTGAATCGTGTAAAGTTGTATTAGTGCAACACGTTTCGAAAAATCTGATCCATCACATACGGACTTGTCATATATACGAAATTAATAAAGAGTTGAGAGGTGAGAAAATAGACTACTTAGGTTAAGTTAAAAGGATATATTGAAGGTGAAAATAACAATAAAGATCACTAAACCAAATAAGCGAGGTAATAGTGTAAAAACAAAAGACGAGGGCCAATCAACAAATCGTTTATTTAGGAAATTAACACATATTTATATATTTTCATGTACATTATTATAGATTATTGTAAGCGAACAAACACAGTCTTCTGATTGGTGGTTGTTTCTCACTGAACGTTAATCTTTCATCTCTTTGTGACCGTTTATTGAAGTTTAAATTATCTATCTGCAAATTGTATCCGCCTACGCAAAGTCTGCTGTGATTGGTTGTTGAATCAGTCTTTGTTCTTATTTTTCCAATGACCAATATTGACATAAATTATTGTCTACCAACTTGGCTAGCAGCCAGCTCTTACCACAATAGGTTCATTTACCCTGGCTGGTATGAAAACAAAGTTTACCGTATAATATGGGGGATTATAGCAGCTTGACAACTAGACAAAGATTGAACTCTGCTGTTAAAAAGACATATTAAGCTGTAGGTTGATCAGATCATTTGAAAGAACTACCAATGCTGCAAAACTACGCATCCATTTGTCAACCAGACCGTTACTGAAACAGTACACTAAAGATAAATTATCTAAGATGGAGCCACATCACAGTGTGTGTATACAAGTTCAACTGCTCATTTGGAGCTAGTTATATAGGTCGTGAACATATTCCTGTTTGGCTTGGTAACAGTGTAACTAAATCAATAAATAGTGCTATTTTATGTCATGTAGTGGATAGGGAACCCTACATGAAAACAGATGAGTGATTGATTCATTTACGCTTGTATATCGAGTACCGATATTTTGTCTTATGTTCTGATTGACTTCACATTTTTGTATAAGTTTATTTGACAATAAGACTGAAACTTGTGCACTGCGATAGAGTATAATTCCACTGTGGGTAAAATTTATTTTGATCAAGTCTCATAGTGTTATACAGTAAAACTTTGTTGGTGATGTTTCGGGCACATCTGCTATCTTAAAATTCCAGGGCTAAATATATAGACAAACAGAAGGTGTAGCAATGCGATTGATCACCAATATCCCCTATTGTAGCAGGCATATTTATGGACTTCTGAGAAAATATGACTCTTAATACATTTAATCCTGCTCCAAAAATATGGTGGAGATATGTGGATGACACTTTCACTCACAGTGTTATAAACAGAACACATATAAACTCACAAGTTGAGGGAATAAAATTCACATTTGAATCAGAAAATGAACAAGGAGAGTTAGCTATGTTGTCAGGTTGTAAAATAACACGAATAGAAGAAGGTAAACTGCACACTATCGTTTATAGAAAGCCAACGCATTTTAATATTGGATATTTAGACTTTAATTCATCACCTCATCTGTTATCTGTCTGTGAAGACAAGCTTAATTAAGTGTCTAACAAACCGAACAATAGCACTAAGTAGCACAAAAGAAGATCTAAATGATTAAATGAGACAGACAGAAGAGGCGTTGGTGTTGAAAAACTATCCTACAAAATTCATTAGGAATATCAAAAAAAAGGTCAAAAGGAGAATAAAAACAATGGTGTGAAACTAATAATGATAACGTAAACAAGGGAGAATATTAAGCACCTACACTGTTACACCATATTAAGAAAGAACATCTGAGACCGTCTTTATGTGGGATTCTAAATAAAGCAGGAATTAGGGTGGCATTTAAGCCTACAAACTCACTCAGGCGGGGGACAAGCTCTGTAGGTGAAAGGACCCAGTTGACCCAATTAGACGAAATAATATAATTTACAAAATACCCTGCAATGACTGTCGGTTAGGTCAACTACATAGGTCAAACCAGTAGGTCAAGGGTAGTCAGATTGTCAGAATATAAGAATTTAGTGGCTAAGGTAAGAATGGTTGATCCCACTGGTGAAGATAAGTAATTTAGAAAAAAGCTCAGCAATTGCAATGCAAGCATTAACACACAACCACACAATAGCATGGTGGGAGAGGGTTAAAATTCTAAAAAGTAATATAATTAGGTGTGTGAAGAGAGAGATTGATTATTGGTTCCTGGATTGGTTGTCACAGACCATAAAAGTGTCTGAGCGCTTTGGATCAATGGATTTACCTGAAAAATTGTACTAACCCTAGTTAGTTAGTTAGTTAGTGAGTAGTTAATAACTACTGAAATCTCTGCATGGATTGAATTTAAGAAGTGTGATTGACTTCCATTGACTTGCACCATTTTTACGATAACCGCAAGGTATTCGATTGCTTGTTCATTGCCTAACAGTAGATCGTGTCATATTTTTTGTGTGGTGGTGGTGATATGGTGGTCTTCTGTCAGGCTTAATCATTTAACTTCCAGTCACTAAGGTACTCGAGATGATCCAGCCTCCACCTACTTCAACCTAACCAACTTGGTAGTATCAGCCATCCCATACAGTAATGAAGCTCACAGTCTAATGCATATGACATCTGTTCCAGCAGTCAAGAAAGTGTAGGAGTTTCAGAAGACTGTAGTTATTTGGTCATCATCATCATCTCAACACGGTCTGCTCTTGAAGATTCAATTGTTCCCATAAATGAAATCAGTTTACGGGATCAATCATGAGCTGACATTAGTTAGAAAACCACTGGGAAACCTGGAAGTACTTAACAACTAGTTGTTTTGTCCTAGTTTGGGGTCCTTCATCAGCACTCACCAACTGGAACTCGAACCCAGCACCTTCTGGTTACGAAATGAGCTCGTAGACCATTAAACCACTGGTACTCGAGCTGATAACCCATGAATTCCAACTTCTGTTACCAGTCAAGTACCTGTAAACCCCTACTCTTGACAAAATCAGTTTACTTAATCGCTTCGGCGTTATATTCTCTACTAGTTTTTCTCATTGTCTTGAAGAGAAAAGAGCAGACAAATCAAGTATTATTTTTATTATTCTTCTAGACTCCGAGTAGAACATAGGGCTTCCATCCTGTTCTCTGCAATCGCCTTTAGCTGGCTGGTTCTGCTGTTGCTCGTAGGATATCATTTCCTCACACGACCTCCTCCACGTCAAACAGGGACTCCCAACTCGCCGTTTCCCACTCGGGGGTCTGCTTGGCATATACTGTCACTTAATGACCCCCTCAAGCATATGTCCAATCTATCTCCATTTTCTTCGGCATATTTGTTGGGCAATAGGTTTTTGATTGGTTTGTCACCTGTCTGAGTTCCTTGTTGTTAATCCCCTGTGACCTGCCATCTGATCTACAGTATCAAACCAGCAAAAGCAGTTGTCAATGAAAGTTTGGAGTAACCTGTTGGAAATGCTTTTGGTGACGCCTCCCATCAAGTCTCTCTGAACTATATAGAAACACTAACTGACTTAAAAACATACTACTTACACATTTTTGTCAGTACTATATGTCACTGCATGAACATACTTTTCAAGGGATCAGTTCTTAATAGGCAGTCATAAAAAACTACTCTCTACATACCTTAATGTATATAAGTTTACAAATAAAAATTCAAATATAAACCAATCATGGTGTTTTGTCTATAGGATAATACGATGGTGAATACAAATTGTGCAATTAGTCATAATAGTAGTAATAATATTTTTTTAATTTTATTTTTGATGACAGCTTGATTCCACACCGTATTTTTGGTACAAGTATGGAATTTTCAGCATGGATATCGGTAGCCCAAATTTTGCAGGCGTGCGTCGGCAGGGGATCGAACCTCGGACCATGTGCATGGTCGGCGAGAGTACTAACCAACGTGGTCTCATCAATAATAAGGATGAAAACGCGGGGGTTGAAAATATAAACAAGAGGTGGTGTAGAAGTCTTTAGTTGGTTATGTCTTAATAGGCCAAGCAAGGGAGGGATAATGGTTGTGCGAACTTTTTTTGAATGCATAGTTTAGGCCTAATAGTTCGAATGCCTATCGCCTGCCTCAGCTGTGTGCAGTAGACGAATACGAAGTCTATTGGAAAGATTTGGTGGGATACGATGAATTACTTTGAAGGCTCTCGTTTTCTCGACTACATGAATATAATAATTTTTCCTTCACGTTCCCAATGGAACATATGGCTTTAAGCTAGTGGCTTGAAGTTTCTGTAGCAGTGTTTATTTTCACAGGATGGGGTTGCTAGCCTCATCCTCAACCTTTCCTCTTACCAGTCTCACTAGTGACTTAGCGAGGTAAAGGAGTGCCTCGTCGGCCAGGGATCGAACCCCGGACCATGTGCATGATAGGCGAGCATCCTAACCGCTGTGCCACCGACGCACACATGAATATACGATAGTGTTTATTACATGTAATCAGGAGTTAACTCATCTAATATGTACTCTCTGTTTGTGTTTTCTAATGAAGGGCTCTACTGAAGCAATCAAGTCTCTTTTACGTCAAAGACATAGACCAGAAGATACCTATGAACCACCCCATCAACCTATAAATACTGATACAACCAATGCTCAGGCGAAAACAGTCGACAACAACAACAACAATGGCAACACTTCAGAATCATTACAGTCAGTCAACATCCCCAATAATAATAATAATACTATGAATGGTACAACCGGTTCCATACCGTCGAAGACAAATAAGCCAAGTGTAACAGTAGATCATTATGACATTCAACTGCCGTCTGTTGGACCATCAGGTAATTTAGAATGGAGTGGTAAGACAACACAGAAATCAATCAGCGCTGCACAACTGCCTCCGCTAGACTCACCAACAGAATGGATACAGGCTGCTACACCGCATAAATCTCAAACTAGTCCAGTTGTAAAATCCTTATGCGTAACTCATCGTTCTTTACATCAATTTCCACAAGGGTGAGTTAATCACTTTTGCTTTGTATAGTTAGTACATATTTCAAAAAATGCGGCAGTTTCATTCTATATTTGGCTATAATTAGGGAGGTGGTGGGGGGTAAGGTATATTCTGTTTAGATACAGGGCTATAAATTCATTTCCAATTGTTAGTTTGCGAGGATTCGATTCATTTCAATTTTGATCACAAGTTGGATTCACTTACTTACTTTACTTCGGCTATCTCCTACGGGAGGATGAGCCGGCTTCATGAACGTCTCGAATCATCGCTGCCCAGGCGCGGCAATTTGTAAGAGAGTTCATGAAGTTTCATGGGAATTTGGTACGAGTGATGTCCCCAGCATCGCTCGGCCTTTTGTTTGAGAGTGCAGCTCTAGCCTTTACACAACCAAGTGTGACCTACAAGGCAGTAGGAGTGGAGTAAGGAGTCCACTATCCATTGGCAGCCGGTGACCGGAGTTCGGTTCATACGCCTTTTTGAATGGGGCCAGACATCCAGGACATCCAACAAGCCCTTTGTCCATACGTCTGCCGGTGAGCTCCAGTGAGCTTCATACGCCAGTCGTTGGATGTTTGGAATCAGGGTTTAGTCATCTCCCCTAGACTGTCATCCAATGGACAGTCAACCCGGTGGAGAGCGCCGGGCATCCGCTTTCGCCCTCTCACTTTGGTGAGAAACACCTCCGCCACGTGAAGGCAGTGAGTAGGACTTCCTCAGGAGAGGCTATGTAAGACGCCCGGTCATATGGGAGCATTTCAGGAGGTGTGCGGAGGGGTGGCCAACCCGCAGCGCAAGGCACCTACCCCCGACCATCCTGAGGCTTTGGAGGCTAGTTGAATTCAGTTAGAGTATAACTGAAAAATGAGCAGGGAATACTGGATGGGTGTATCCTCCTCGTTCGGGACTCTTCAGTAGTGCGAACCCATCACCCTTCCAGTGATTAAATCCATGACCTTGATGTTATAGGGCGAACTCGTATACCATTCACTTGAAAATCATTCTAGTACTTACTTCCGACCGAATACAGGACGAAGTTGCCTGGACTTCTCGTGAGAATTCATCACCAGATGGCTACACTTAGAGTTGAGTGTGAAGCCAGCCACCCACCGATGACATTGCCTAGTGGTCTGGATATATATCAAAAATGGGTAGAACTTAGAATTGATCGGCTATTGAATTCCATGTCAGTGGGTAGATGGCATGCGAGTTCGTCTTGTAACCTTCAGGTCCTAAGTTGGATCCTTGATGGGCTGATGACTGCGTACCGACAAAGAATCCAAAATTTGGGCGAGAGAACTATCTAGTACCCCTTGGTTTTTAATAATTACGAATGTATTGTATATCCCTTAGATATACAAACAAGACCTAAATGTGACCAGAATGGTGAATTGACAGAATTCATCTTACGAGGGCGTGGATAGTCCTTGTATATTTACTCTAGAGTAGGGATAGCTCTAAAGCCATGGGGGCTGAAAAATTAGTGATCAGTTTACTCTTTTATCTAACAGTCGTTTCCATACTGTCTGGTTAATTGTTACCATGATAAAGAATGGATGGCGGAGATGCTCTTTTCGGCATCGATTTGTACACCAACTGACTAGTGTTCTGATCAGATAAAAGAGAAAAATAATAATACCAGTTGGAGAACCGTTGAAAATCAGGGAGTTTTGCAGTGCCGTTTTGTTCTAGTTTGGGAATCTTCACCAGTACGCACCCATGACCCTAGTCACACACACAGTCGAACCTAACACCTTCAGGTTATGAGGCGAGATCGTTTAACCATTCAACCACTGAATTCTGGCTTTTTTCAGTCTATGGTATGTTACGTGATCATCGACCAATGTCAATGTTGAGTATCCGTCCTCACACATACAACCTGGCAAATTTCACAGGTCACGACTTCTCACTAGAAATCTAGGTAGTCAGTGACTGGTGTGTATCAGATTAATTCTCGAGTGTAACTTTGTAAGTGTCAGATTGATTTCACATTTGGTTCTTGGTGGAGTCATGACCGTGTATGGATGAAGAGTCCCTAACTAGGTTGAAGAAACAGCTGTTCAGTATCCCCTGAATTATTTCAATGGTTCGTTAACTGATATTTATCCCTTATCGAATTTAATTCCAATCAAATCTTTACAATGTAATCCTTGAAAAGAATAATAATAACTTCATCAGAAGGTTGTAAAGCCTGCTACAAAAATCAAAACATTCGAAATGTACATTCATCACAGTACTTTAGATAATTTTATTGCTGAAGTAAGTAGTCAAGTTAGTTGGTTAACAAAATAAGTCTTATACAGGATATATCCAGAATCCTGCTGAGGTAATTACTTGTTCTTAGCCAGCAACATCAACTTCAAACAATGAAAAGAGATATTGTTGCACCTAGTGACCCCACGGATGCTTAGTCACCAATGGAGAGGCATACACAGATGATTTTGCTGAAAGTCATCGGTGAAAGGGTTAGACAGAAAAGTGTGGATTCCGATCACTCTGCGGTTCTTCTGCATATAGTGTAGTCAACTGACAGTCGCGAAATTTTATTGTATAGATGGGAATGCTAAATCTGTCTTAAAATGATTGTGATCCTTATCTTATCGATTTAAGCGTGTTAGCATGCTGGCTGAAATAAGACAATTATCTCAGAGCTTATGAAGAGTTCTCATCTGATGTGACAACATGTGGTACCATTCGACAAGAATGCCCATTCTAACTTTATTTCACTATAAATAGGCTAACTGAAGTGAATTAGGTTGTTGGTTTGCGGGGATTTGATCAAGAACCAGAAAGGAGTGCTGAACTGCTGTTTTGCCCCTAGGCACCCATCAGGGATAGAGTCTAGAACCTTAGGTTTACAGGGCCGTACTGTTTTGGACTTTCAGCCAATAGGACGTAATCCAGTAATGATTCATTAATTCTAACTTCCACCAATGCGAGATATGTAACTCGAAATCGATCAGTCAATCAGTCAATTCCCTATAAAGCAGCGTTTTGAAATTAATTCAATGCTCGCTAGTGACTGTTGCCTGGAGTTCCAGTCAGAAGTCGTAACTAGTGGGGTCCTCCAAATTGTGGGGGTGAAGGTAGATACTTCCTGAATGGCTGAAGTAAGAATTGATGAGCTATTGGATTCTATCCCGGTGGATATATTGTCAAGCAGCTCTCCATGTAGCCGAAAGTCTCGTGTCTGGACACCCAGTGGGGTTGTGTGCATGCATTGCTGAAGAGTTTCAGATTAGGACAAAACAGCTGTCCAGTAATTCCTGATTCTCAATGACTCACTAACTAAAGTCAATTCGTGATCATACTTGAACAGTATTATGTTTTCTTTCGGAAGCCTATAAAACAAGGGCGTTATTCTTTATGGTATAAACATGAATCCGTCCTAATCATTATCACCACACACACACACACACGTACTCACACTCTTATTTGTTTCTTGTCATTTCGCATGCAACGATATGGACATTTTTTTATAGTTCTGTATCCATTTTGTCTGTTCGAATTGTGTAAGTGTTAATGAGTGTAGTGAGAGGTGTGTTGCTTTTCTCAATTTTTTCTAGGTGTGTCTAATTGATCGGCAGTACATTAATTGGTGTATTATCATGCGTTGTTGTTGTCGTGTTTATTTCTTTTTTTCACCAATTCATTGTCCTTTAAACTTACACTTTTAAGTTTGATCATGAATTGTTATCAGTTACGAGAACTATAGAAAACCGGGTTGTAGTGGACAGCTGTTTCGTCTTACATTGAGACTTTTCATCAGTACGCATCCATGACCCTATCCAATAGGGATAGAATCTAGCACTTTCAGTTCACGAGGCCAGAACGTTGACCATTCAACCACCGGGATGAAATCTAGTAGCGCATGAATTATAAATTCTATGTAGTCATGGTTTTTGTTAGTGCTACCTGCCTTCAGCCAATCTCTTTGCGAGTATTTATCCTTAGCCCGGTCTATTGAACCACACTCTAGTCCCGTTTGATTGGTTTCAGGTTTGACCATGGATTTTGATATCAGTTAGAGAATTATCCATCATTTCTAGTGACCCCCTGATTGTGATTGATTAACCCAAGGAGTTCCCTTGTTATTATATACACTCACCTGTTTTTTTTTAATTTACAGCTTGATTCCACACTGTATTTTGGTACAAGTATGGAATTTTCAGCATGGATATCGGTAGCCCAAATTTTGCAGGCCGACCATAGATATCAGATGTGCGTCGGTGCGGGCTCGAACCCCGGACCATGTGCATGGTCGGCGAGAGTCCTAACCACTGTGCCACCGATACTAATCGTCTGATTTTCCTTGATGTTTTACCATTTCCGTCGTATGACTTATTCTTTATCGATTGATACATTCTATTCTATATAAACACTAGACATAGTCATTGGAAGTGGACGACGTGGTAAGGCTAGCCGTCCTCCTTCATTAATGTCTGCGTTCTATCTTCCGTGTTAAGTGGTATAACATGGTGAGCAATATCGGGGTTAGGCGTAAGTCGTCAGAGGCAAGGATGGTAAGTCAATCAATGAGATTGTAGGACTACATCGATCGAGATGGTTAGGACACGTGTTACTCACTCTGAGCTACTGCCTTCCATGACGAATAGTGTTAGCTTACTGATGTCTGCTTTGTTTTGACAGTCTGATATATTTTACTATGTGTATATTGATCGTTATTCCATCATAACTCACAATATGGCTTTGTCTGTCCATTAACTAAATAAACAATGTATGACCTTTTTGTCACATGACATTACAACCAATCAGAATCCAATGGTGGTAAGAAAAACTACTGATCCATCTTATTGGTTCATGCATGTTGGTCGTTTTCATATATACTCTTGTGGTGAGAGCTGGCTGCTATCCAAATTGGTAGACAGCAATTTACGTCAGTTATACGACGATACTGCATGCCAAATAATCCACAACGGGAAAGTTATGGAATCTTTCGAAAGGAGGACAGGAGTAAGACAGCTGGCTGGCTACTATCGCTAATGATCTTCCTGATTGCAGTAGATTGGATGATGAGACAGATAGCAATGGGCAATTAGGAAACAATCATAAAATGGACTCACACAAAAAACTTGGAGGATCTGGACTTCGCCAATGACCTGTATATGTCTTATTTCCCACAAACTGGAAGATATGCAAGTGAAAAGCGACAAGCTGGCAGAAGAACCACCAAAGATAGGACTTCAAGGAAACATAGAGAAAACAGAGGTAGGTGATGAAGATTCCTGGCCAACACCAATAGCAACAACAACAATAGACAACAGTCAGCCAGCATAAATGGGAGGAACCTGAAAGAAAAAACTTCCTTTACCTACCTACTTATCTGGGAAGCATCGTATCAAGTACAGGCGGAACTGACGAAGATATCAAAGCCAGAATTGGGTAAAGCAAGAGAAGCTTCTATTACCCTTAAGTCTGTGTGGAGGTCAACAACACTCAGAATCAAATATAAGATCCGGATTTTCAACTCCAATGTGAAGTCAGTTAGTGCTACTCACTATGCGGATCAGAGACTTGGCCAGCGCGTCATAAAGAGCATCTCAAACAAACTTCAGACCTTTATTAACAGTTGTCTTCGCTCAATACTACTCAAGATCAGATGGCCGGCCAGAAAAGATCAGGAACAGGGATGCTAGTCGTTTACCCAGCTCCCCCTCTTCACAAAAGCTGGCCGATAGCCAAATTGGTAGATAGTAATTTACGTCAATGTTTATTTCCCCAATATTGGTCGTGAGAAATATAAGAACAAGGAATGATTCAACAACCGATCACAGCAGGCTTTGCGTAGGCGGATACAGTTACCGTATAGATGATCTGCCACAAAGAGATGAAAGATTAACTTTCAGTGAGAAACAACCACCAATTAGAAGACTGTGTTTTTCTGCTAACAATCATCTATAATAATGTATATGAAAATCTATAAATATATGATGATTTCCTTAATAAACGATCTGTTACCTGGCTGGCCTTGTCTTCTGTTGTTACACAAATACCAGGATTCCAGATATCCTCTGAAATTCTTCGCCTTTCTCCTCCGTACAATTCTTAATATTTTTCCAAGTTGAACCGATCTCCTTATTTATTCAAGTAAAATTGACATAAACGAATGTATGTCATGTCTCTTGACCGATAGTTTGTTTTCACAATTGCAAAGATGAAGCGAAATTTGACGACCTTGACGCGAATATAATATTTTTCACAGTAGAGACAATGTATGATTTTGTCTTTGACTGTTAAATCATTTAGTCTATATAGTATGGTGTGTGTATGTGTGTGTGAAGTTACAGGTGTTAAATTACAGCGCTTTGTAATGACCGTGTGTCTCCTTTCTGCAGTCATACCGGGGTAGTGTTCTCTAACACGTTTTGAAAGGACGTGGATAGAACATCCTATGTACGTAGCTCATCAGAGGAACAGGTGAACTGATATATGCACATTAGATAGAGTGGTCATATTCAGAGGAGTTTGTCCCTGGAATTGCTTAGAAGTAATGAGTGGCTAGAGAATATCACTCCTAGTTTTGCCGCAGGGAAAGTCTTCTTTAAGGAACTAGATATGCTTGTTTATAAGAATAACTTCATTATGAATAAAATTTTATTTTGATAAAGTCACACCATGTTGTTGTTATACAGTATATTATTTACTGATGACCACATTTCAAGCACAATTTACCTTTGCTACTCATAATCATATCAAAGCATGCATGACTCATACGACTTTCTTGCTTCATTTATATAGAAGATATAATTTCCACCAGTCAAATTAGAGGGGGATAATAAATAATGTTAAAATGTATTTCAAATTCACACATTATAACATTCTGACAAGCTACTTATTTATTTTACTATGAAAACATCTTATCCCCCATCTGATTGTATTTGATTGATAACACTAATATTGTAACGACAGAAGACAAGGGCCAGGCAACAGACTGTTTATTGAGAAAATCAAGAGATATTTATAGATTTTGATGTACATTATTATTAGCGTTATTGTTAGCAGAGAAGCAGCAACGTCTCTGATTGGTTGTTCTCCAGCTGAAGGCTATTCTGTACTTCGCCTGTGACCGTTTCCTAGATAGTTAAGCGATAATATATCTGTGAATTGTATTTATTTGCCCACGTTAAGTGTTCTGTGATTGATTGTTGAGTTCCTCAAGGTTAAGCTTTATTATTGTTTTTTTTTCTCATGACCCTAATTCTGGACGTAAACATTGACACGCAAATTGTTGCTTACAATTTGGGCTGGTGGACAGCTCTCAGCACAATATTATTTCCGTATATACTTTATCATCATATATTGATTTTATTCAAATGTCTAATCATCAATTTTTACTCATGTATATCAATGAAGCAAGAAAGTTGTGTGAGTGAGTAGTGTCTTGATATGATTATGAGCAGGAATAATTTATGCTCGAAAGGTGGTCATCAGTCAATATTACTGTATAGCATCACTATATGACTTTATCAAAATAAAATTTTATTCATAATAGAGATTCTTGTCTTCAGAATGTCCACTGCCAAATCCCCTTTGAAGTTCAGGTTCACAAGTCTAGTACATTAACTTTTATAAGCCTCCCGACTGTAGATGTTACGAATTTCATGTTTTTGTATTCATTTTCACTGGGTATCTTTTTCTGATATTGTCTTTTTCTGTTCGTTGTTGTTTTTTTGTTTACTTAGAATATTTGCATTCGCAACAAGTTTAAGAGAACTGAACATGAGTTGTAATCATTTAGCAGAATTACCAGAAAATTTTGATCAACTCTCAAAGCTTGAAAATTTAAATCTAAGGTAAGCTGTACTGCTCCTTTCCTATTCCACTGTTACATAATTTATATTATTATTATTATTATTCGTACATGGCGTTCCAAGTGGAGTCCAGTGTGTTTCAGGGAGATATCTGTCATCACTTTCAGCTGGCTGCACAACTTTTATTTCGTCCATCTTTTTCACATGATCTGATCTTCTCCACATCATCCTCAGAGCCACACCTAACCCATCATTTTTAATTGGGATTCTATTCAATAGGTTTCAACAACTGATTTCTTTTTCATCCTATTCTCTTCAATTATCGTTCCTCACACGATCTCCTTTTGTGTCTAAATGGAAGGGATCGCTTGTTCGGGGTAGAGCTCATCAGCTGTGTACCAGGTTTAACTTAGCTCAGAGAACTGAATCAGTTGAAAGTACTTGATTTATAGCGTTTATATAACATCGTCGCGAAACCTGTATAAGTGGTCAAAATGTTCTGCGTAGGACTGACTAGTGCGGTGCCTTAAAGAAACAACCAGTAGGATCGATAATTTCTATTACACAGTTTATGTTTGTTCACTTGTGAATAAGTTATTCTTAATTTCTTTACAGTTTTATAGACTCATGCCTTCTTGTGCATAAACACTTCAGTTGTATCGTTGTGTTTTAATACAATTCAGTGTTGACCACGATGATGATGACCATGTACTTCATTGATTGATTTTACCGATGTGGTGTTGTTTAGGCTTGCCTAATGGTGAAATCACGAACTTTTTCATTATCATTCTAGACAACATTTTCAGTATCAGTCGCATAAGAAATCAGCTGTTCGAGTTTCTCTATCGAAAATACCGATATTCTCCAGCTTCGTTTGCTTTGTACATCCTACTGGGTCGATTGAATATCTGATAAATACTCTATTTATCCAGGTAGACGGCACAAATGGTTAGGGATGTCAAAGGCGGGCCTCCATCCCTATGAACTCAGTATGGAAATCTGCCGCAGTCAATATAAAGAACAAGATGCTAATTTAACATTTATGTCAAGCCATCGGATGCTTCTAAATGCTCTCTCTCTCAGCTCAGATAGCTGCAACACTTTAAACCATCCGATTTCTCGTTAGCTATTTTGGCGAACTAGTAACAGCATAAATGAAATTCTCGATTCACAGAGTGATTTGTGATGATCGAAGTGATCCTGGACGAGCGAAACAGCCATACGGTGTTCAGATCCCTTCGATCCGGCCGACTAACAAATACTATTGGTTGATATGAATGGTTTTTATAAGTGCTTATCTCAGTGAATCAGTAGCATAGCGGGAGAGTGCTCGCCAACCACGTCTCATGTGGTCTGGGGTTCGATCCCCAGCCGGCCAATGGAGCCAATGTTCCTGCAGGTCTTACTATGCCAGGAATGTTGTTAGGATAGCGATTAGACTAAAAGCAGTTACCGGCATTGTACAAGAATCTTTCTTACACTATGCTGGGGGTCTGGGGGCGAAATCGTACTGCTAGGGAACAGGGGTGTAGCAGCAGTGAGGTGTTTCCCTCAGATGACCAGCACGCTAGCCAGTTATGCTGTCTATCCACTCCGGAAGGGAGGGGGTTAGAAAAGGTCGACCCCAAAAATTGTACATCCCGACTTACCCCACCTACCGTGGTCCGTAACCAGCGGTAAGTTTACCAATATGGAACCAACCCCAGAAACCAATTAATACAGGTCTTGTGTAACCGACCTCAAACAGTTGTCCCGTGAACTCTGTGGTCACGCAACACTCACCCTCTTTGCGTTTCAGGTACCCGAAGAATCAATCAACTTCCACGCTGTGGGCAGCCCACACACTTCCAAAAGTACACGAAGCCTTCCTGGGCATAATTCGCCTTTACTCACATCACCTTCCTCATCTTGCCCCCAGCCAGCCGACGAGGCACTCCTTTACCTCGTTAAGCCAATAATAAGACTGGTAAAGAGGGAAGGTTGGGCATGAGGCTGGCTAGCAACCCCATCCATTCAAGCCCGTAAAAATAAACACCACTGCTATCCAAACTTCAAGCCTCTAGCTTGTTAAGCCACTCTCTCTCTCTCTCTCTGTCACATTCTTACTTTGTGAGGTTTTTTGTCTCTTTTCTTTTCCTCTCTTTCTCGACCAACATTTCGGGGATAATCGCATAACTGTGTGTGTGTGTGTGCAAAAACAAAAAACAACAACACCTGAAAATTGTTCAGTTCTAATCAATTAAAACACTTACCAGAGTGTCTGGCCAATCTAAGTCAACTGAAAACTTTATGCTTAGACTCAAACCCGCTTGGTCCAGAACTACAGTGTAACATAGTGTTGAAATCACCATTGGTTAACAAGTTGGAATATTTATCATTACGTGGATGCCAACTGAAAGTTTGTCCTACACCTGAATACCTCAACCAGGCAAATGCACCGAATCTTTCAACGCTTGATTTAACAAATAATGATATTGATCAGTTACCAGCGGAATTAGGATTGTGTACACAAATCAGGTATGCCTTGTTTTATTATTTATTGATTTTCAGTCCCATTTTTTTATTGTTTTTAAGTGTTTTAGTGTTTAGGGATATGGTTGGTATTAAGGTAGATTTGCGTCCTGGCTTGGGAGTCTTCATTACGCATTAATGCACCTATGACTGACCAATGCTGCATGCCAGCTAATCCACAATGGGAAACTTACGGAATCCTTCGAAGAAGTGAAGACAGGAGTAAGACAAGCTAGCTGCCTACCTACTATCGCCAATGATTTTCCTGATTGCAGTAGGTTGGATAATGCGACAGACAGTGTCAGGCATAAAATGAACCCACACAGAAAACGTGGAGGATCTGGACTTCGCCTATGATATATGTCTGATTTCCAACAAACTGGAAGATATGCAAGTGAAAAGTAACAATTTGGCAGAAGAAGCATCAAAGATAGGAATTCCCTTAGGTGAACATCGATAAAACAGAGGTGATGAAGATTCCTGGCCAACAGCAACACCACCACCAACAACAGCAACAATCAGCCAGCATAAATGGGATAAACCTGAAAGAAACAGCCTCCTTCACCCACCTACCTGGAAAGCATCGTTTCAACACCAGGCAGATGGAACTGATGACGATATCAAAGCAAGAATCGGAAAAGCAAGACAAGCTTTCATTACTCTTAAGTCTGTGTGGGGGTCAACAGCACTCACCATCAAAAATAAGCTCCGGATTTTCAACTCCAATCTGAAGTCAGTCAGTGGTACTTACTATACGGATCAGAGACTTGGCCAGCGTCTCATAAAGAGTACCTCGAACAAACTACAGACCTTCATCAACAGCTGTCTTCACTCAATACTCAAGACCAGATGGCTGGCCAGAAAAGATCAGAAACAGGGATTTCTGACAATGAACGAACCAACCAGGAACCGTTTGTGGAACAAATAGGCAGGAAAAAATGGAGATGGATTGGACTGGCCACACTCTGAGGAAACCACCAAGTGACCTCACTAGACAAGCCCTCGGGTGGAACCCGGACGAATGGAAAGCGGCGAGTCGGTCGTCAATGCAAGGGCGACTTGGAGGAGGTCATGTGTCAATAGGAGATGAAAGCATGTGGGCAGACCCGAAGACAGGTGAAAATTTTAGCAGAGAACTGAACGCAATGGAGACGTGAGCGGCTGAAGCCCTATGTTCCTCTAGGAATTAAAGGAAATAATAATAGTATAATAATACCTATGACTGACTCCACCCATCAGGGATAAAATCCAGGACTTTCAGGTCATGATGCAAGTATCTGTTGTCTATCCAGCGACTAAGATGGAATACAATGGTCGGTCTATGTATTCTAATCCCTTGCAATCCGCGGCGGACAGCGCAGCTGTGCTGGATGGATAACTGAACTCTTCAGTATAATGCTCTGACGAATTCGTAGACAGGCCAGGATGCAAGTATATCTTCATGGTGGTGATTCTCAAATATGACAGTGTGAGTATCCTAGATTGATTGCATATTGCCAGTTCCACCATTGACCAAATAATCGTCAATTAATTATGAAACGACATTATCGATCGATAAATCTAAGGTCACAGAAAAATGACTGACAGACAGACTTATTTTCAACAGAGAACTTTGCACACAGAAAGAAGTACACACAGCACTTCGAGTTGCCACACTCCACACTATGCGCTACACAAAGTGTAAATGAAAAGATTCATGGATAATCCCCATCCAGGCATTAATGAAAACAAAACATGTAGATCAGCGAAGAGTCTCTTTTCGGCGGCGGTGAATTCATTTTCGTAGCTGTACAATCGCAAATATATATGTGTTATTTTGTATGTATGTGTGTACATTAAGTTTGTCAAACAAAATTACAATTGGTTATGGTTATTTTAACTAAACAGGTGAAGGCTGTTTATATGAGTCAAGAAAATTAGGTGTTAGTGAAATTAGGGTAGTAACAAAGGTGATGAGTTGTCACAAACAGTTGGTAAAAAGGAAGTTATGTAATAATAATATGAATAGTTCGATGAGTGGGTTTTACTCAGGATGCACATAGAAACAAGGTGGATAATGCGAAATTATGTAAGAGATCTAAATGAATACAAGAATTATAAGCAATTAAAGAACAGGCAAACAAACAAAATTAAGTCATCAAAATAAAAATAAAAAAACAAACTCAAAACATTGTTACCATGAGAGTAGAAGTGGTTGAGTAATCTTCTTTTGTATGCACAGCTCCGGTTTTCCTATGTGAATGGCCGCTAGAGCTTTGGCGATACAAAGAAGACGAAACCATATTGCCTTTGATAGGTTATTCTTGACTCTGTAGATCACTTTGAAGCAGGAGGCGTTAGTTGAGATGGAATGATCAGTGTTAACCAGGTGTTCAACTATCGCACTCCTTATTGCACCGCTATCGCCTTTTCACAACCATGCTGGATAGTGTTCTTGAATCCTCTTGGACAGGATGGGCGTCGAACGACCGATGTACCTGGCTCCACAGCAGCAGGCTTACTGATATATGCACATAGAAGTGGTCAGATGTGGGATCTTGTCCTTGAGGCTTCTGCAGATCAGTTGGCGACTTACTGGAGAACACTATTCTTAGCGTTGCTGCATAGAATGTTCTCTTCTCAGAGATGATGTGATCCTTCTCTTGAGAATATCACTTGCTAAATATCCCTTGAAATCCAAGTTCATGTAGAGTTTCTTTTTAGGCGCAATTAAAGTTTTGTTCCTCCGAATTATTGGTTTGATATTTTTGTCGATGAATCTTATTGGGTATCCATTTTGGATGAAGACTTCTCTTAGAATATCTAATTCTGTTTCCAGAACGTTGGGACTACAGATGCTTTGGATCCGGGTGGCAAGTGATTTAATTAAATTCCGCTTCTATTGAATGAGTACCAAGCTATAGAAGCTCGTTAGTTGACCATTCCACGTAGGTTTTCTATGGATCGATCATCTTAGGCTCCTATCAGCTCTTCTTTTTAGTTCCACATCAAGAAACGGAATTTTTGACTAATTTTCCATTTCAAGAGTGAATTTCATTGCTGGATGGCAACAGTTAAATGTTAAATGAAAAGAGATGCAAAATAACTAGAAAACATGTTCAACAGATATGAGAAATCACAAGATATACAGGAAAATGCGAAATCAAACATGATTTCGTAATATATAAATAAAAATAACGTCTGATAGTATCAGGTACTGTAACGGGAGAAGGCAAGATACGGAAGCCAAGGTGTACAGTTTATACTCTTTAACCAATCACTGAGTGTGTGATTTTGGTTTACATTTACATGAAATAGAATGTTCAAACAGATATATGTAGTATTCTATTGCTAATCCTGTATTGAACTGTGGAAATAGTATTTAGACGTTAAAACCAACAAATATAATGATTCTTACTGTAAGAATTATATTCCATTGGAACACATTGTCTGTATCACACCAACACACTCATGCCACCTCCCCATCAAATCTTTTAGACTGAAGGTGATCCAATCTTCTTAGTTCTTGCGTCTTTGTTTGCTTGTCGTGCTGTATCCATTTCCAGAGCTCGCTGATGTTCAGCTGCTTCTCGTTGTTTGCACTTCTTATCCTATATATATATGCCCCTTCCCACTTTGGAAGCAGTTTGCATGACCCTGGCGCGTATTCGCCAGTGTTTCGCCTCACACTATCACATATACTGCCTTCCCCCGACCTGTCAGAAGCGTTCCAAGTAACAGCCTCTTCCCTGACGGATCTTGAACGCCTTTCAACTCCGCAACAGCCTTGAAGTCCTGCCAGAAGATCCATATGTCTCCTTCTTCAAAAACTGCTGGGCATAGACTTTTCATTTGTCAACAGGCAACGACACTAAATGTAACAGCAGAAAGCAAGACACGGAAGCCAAAAGTATATTTTCATCAAGTGATCAAGTAGCTATTTATATTTTTACGAGTCGATCACGGATTGATATCAGTTAGGGAACCACTGGAAAACCAGGGAGTACTGGACAGCTGCTGTTTCATCCTAGTTTGGGAATCATTGGCAGTACGCACCCATCACAGGGGTTCGAACCCAGGACCCTCCGGTTACAAGGCAAGCTGGCTCATATACCATTCAGCCACTGGGACCCGATTCAATGGCTCATGAATTCCAACTTCTACCAATTCGTGATTTAGCGCCACCCCAGCTATCTATATCTATACAGTTTCATATTCTTTAACCAATCACTGAGCGGGTGATTTTGGTAAAATTAAACAACATAAAATAGAATGCTCAAATGCATATTTAGGATTCTGTTGGTAATGCAGTATTGAACTGTGAGAATAGTATTCAGACGTTAACACTAACAAATCCAATGATTTTCAAGTATTGGTTTGTAGGGATTTGGTTGATTGTGACTCTTCAGCAGTACGCACCCACCCCACAGGGGGTTCGAGCCCAGGACCTTTTGGTTACAAGGCGAGCTAGCTCGTATACCATTAAGCCAGAAGTTAGAATTCAAGGACCGCTGGATCGGGTCCCGGTGGCTGAATGGTCTATGAGCCAGCTTGCCTTGTAACCAGAAGGTCCTGGGTTCGAACCTCGTGATGTGGGTGCGTACTGCTGAAGAGTCCCAAACTAGGATGAAACATCAGCTGTCCAGTACTCCAGTGATGGTTTTCCAATGGTTCTCTAACTGATTATGTCAGCTCATGATGAAATCATGTAACAAATCCAATGATTCCTAGTGTGAGAATAATATTCCTTAGGAACCCATTGTTTGTAGTACCAACACCACCACAGTATGATCCCAAGCTGATATCTCATTTAGAGAATCATTGAAAAACCAGCAAAGAGTATTGGAAAGCTAGCTGTTTCGTCTTAGTTTCTTTTTCTTCTTTACTCTTCATCAGTAAGTATCTCCACAGGCGTCGGTGGCACAGTGGTTAGGACTCTCACCGACCATGCACATGATCCGAGGTTCGATCCCCGCCGACGCACACCTGATATCTATGGTCGGCCTGAAAAATTTGGGCTACCGATATCCATGCTGAAAATTCCATACATGTACCAAAAGTATAGTGTGGAATCAAGCTGTAATCAAAAATAAAAAATAAAAAAAACGCAGAATCTTCCGGTTATATAAGTTAAGCTGATAAACTATTCAGCCACACTGGAACTCAGTCCAATCCCCTAGGAATTCCAACTTCTCCCGATTCACGATAATAATTTATATATATATATATATATATATATGTAGCGCACCCCTGATGATTCAATATCCATGTTAACTAACTTCTTAGCTATGTGTTACTTTCTGTATACAAATTTCTAGATCCCTTCTTCTACAAGGCAATACATTCCGCATACCTCGACCTGCTATAGTCGCAACGCCAAAGAGCCTTATCCACTAGGGCCACGAAAGCCACCTCTTGTGCAACGAGTCATACAAATTATTTAACTGAATTTTAGATTTTCCCGTCGATTAATTGGACCGAAGTGCTCGGTCTCAGATTGACATGATGGCTTCTTTTACAGATGATTCGATGATGTCTGGACATGTAATTAGAACCTAATCACCATCCACCAATTAAATTCTAACTAAATGCCCAGACATCGTCGAAGCATCTGCTCAAGAAGCCGACATGTCAACCTGAGACCGAGCACTTTGGTCCAATTAATCGACGGGGAAATCTAAAATTCAATTAAATGATCAAACAGTTTTATTTATGTCTATACAGTTTTATATTCTTTAACCAATCACTGAGTGTGTGATTTTGGTTTATATTGAACGATATGAAATAGTATGTTGAAATGCACATATAGTATTCTGTTGCTAATGCAGTGGGAAGATGTGAGAATAATATTCCTTTGGAACACATTGTCTGTATCAACACCACCACAGTATGATCCCAAGGTGATATCTGTTATGTACTGCTGCTGAGTGGTTAATCGTAGTTTTCCCCGTCGCCAATTATGTTATATACTCGTCAAGTAGTTAATATTCCTGACGCGGAAAGAGGGAAATCAGAAGACTGTCAGGTTTACGATGATACTTGTATTTTCCAGACAAGAAAAATAAATATCACACAAGTGTGTGAGTGGAAGGGTACGTAGATGTACGAAATGTGTGTGAACCAGAATACAGTACAAAAGTATATATGAAAATGGCTAATACACATGTACCATTAAGATAGCCAGTCTTACCATGATTGGTTGTAATGTCATGTGACAACAAGGTCATACATTGTCTATTTAGTTAATGGACAGACACAAGCATATTGTCAGTTATAATGAAATATCGATCCATATACACACAGCTAAATATAACAGACTGTCAAAAATAAAACACACATCATGTGGGTACATATCTATATCTCACGTAGAGAATCATTGAAAAACCAACAGGGAGTATTGGACAGCTAGCTATTTCGTCCTAGTTTTTTTTCTTCTTTACTCTTCATCAGTAAGTATCTCCACAAGCTAAAACGCAGAATCTTCCGGTTATATAAGTTAAGCTGATAAACTATTCAGCCACACTGGGACTCAGTCCAGCCGCCTAGGAATTCCAACTTCTCCCGATTCACGATAATAATTTATATATATATATATATAGCACACCCCTGATGATTCAATATCCATGTTAACTAACTTCTTAGCTATGTGTTACTTTCTGTATACAAATTTCTAGATCCCTTCTTCTACAAGGCAATACATTCCGCATACCTCGACCTGCTATAGTCGCCAAAGGCACTGAAGCTCTCCTAAGCTATCTACGTTCACGTATTCCAGAGTCGTAAACTGGACTGTGTTACCTACCTATTTATGTTATTTATTATTAGGAATATAAAACAAAACTTTCTATGCTCTATTGTCCTGCATTTGCATTTCGCTATCTCTATTGTGTCTATGTGTGCCTCATATTCTGTTTATTAACAGTGCCTATTATTATTATTATTATCCGTGCGAGAGCAGTTACTGAGACGTGCTCGTAGTGCTTATACAGTCTTCCGTCTGAGTTTGTTTTCCATTTTCGTTTTTTCTCCATTTGTGTGAATAAACATTTTCTACTTGAAAGACGAAAGCAGCATGTTATTTTTGTAATAGAATGTTTGAATTTTCTAATAAAAATAAATATATATATCAGCTGGTCTGTTTGTTGGCGTTATATTTATTCTTTCTATCAGTCAGTCAGTCAGTTCGCCGTCGACGGTTTCGGTCGAACATAGGTCTTCAACAGTACGTGTCCATTTCATCCGTCCTTTTTCCAACAATTTTCTAACCAGTCTCAAGCTTGTTGAAGAGGGGGGGTCGGGCGTGGAGCTAGCGGCCCTACCCCACGAAACCAATCGAACTGCTACAGAAACATCAAAGCACAATAAAAATATTTTTTTTAAAACTTATTCTTCGCTGGAATCAGAGAGGCGAAATGACATAGTGGGCTGGTGAAAGCCAGTTAGTTAGCCGATGCGTATTCTTTCGAATAAAGCAACGAAAAGGTCATTAGTTCAACCCCTGGTAGGGTCGTGGTGGTGTAGCGCTAAAGAGTTCCAAACTAGGACGAATCAGCTGTCTAGTACTCCTTACTGTTCAATGGTTACCTTACTGATATCAATGCGTGATCAAAATTTTAAACCAATCAAATCCCATGAAGGTGTAAATTGCCTGTTTTGTTGACGTTGCCTATTTTTCATCTCAGATACAGTGGCTCGTTTGGTACTACCACTACCTACTTCTCTTCATCCTCTACCCTATTTATCTCCTCATTCTACAAAAGCAATAACTGCTACTGTGGCATATGCTTCTATCAAGGATTGATAAGTGGTATATCGATAACGTCTTCTTCCATAGAAATGTTGAAAAATGGAGGAATAGATTAAGTGACGAAGATAAGAGTAGTTATAGATTATTGTGGATCAGTATTGCTATTATTTCCGCGGGTTCTGAGTGGAACAAGCCACTCGTCAACTGGCCTCACGATTGCCCATAACCTCTCATCTCTCCCCTCACACGATCTCCTCCATACGACTCTCAAAATCACACAGAACTCTTCGTTTCCCAATCCTAATTCAACTAGAAGGTCTGCCAGGCGCATGATTTCACTCAACGGTCATAATTGTGTCTGTCCGATCCATCTAGACTTTCTTCTGCATACATAGTGGGCGACAGGTTCGTGGTTGATGATCTGTTGCTAGAGTTCCCTGTCGTTCACCTTTAATAGCCCATCATCTAATCTTCATTATGGAGCGAAGTTCGCCTTTGATAAAAGTCTGAAGCTTGTTCGAAATGCTTTTGGTGACACCCAAATCTGTGAACTATATAGAAGAAACATCATTGTTGAAAATTTGAATCTTGTTCTTTATGCTGACTGCAGTTGATTTACGAAGTGATTGATTTTCCTATCCTAGCTTAGAAATCTTCATCCGCGCCACTGTCTGTAGTTAAAAACGATGCTGCCTAATCAGGTAGATGAAATAATGGAGCTCTTTCAAATTTCTCCCAATGATACTGAGTGATGCTCGTTGCTTTTGGTTAGGTATCTTCATCACCTCTGTCTTCTGCATGCTCACTTGAAGTCCTGGTTTCTCTGCTTCTTCTTCTTCCAGCTTGTTGGTTTTCGCTTGCATGTGTGTGAAATTAGACAAAGGTCGTCTGCTAAGTCCAAATCTTTCAGAATTTTTTTTTCGGCTCAATATATTCTAGTCTTCTCGCCTGCCACAGCCTTGCGAATGATCCAGTCCAGCACAATTCCGAATATCTTCGGGGGTAGTAAGCAGCTTTGTCTTACTCTTGTATTTCAACTTCGAACGTGTGCGTCGGTGGCACAGTGGTTGGGAATCTCGCCGACCATGCACATGGTCCGGGGTTCGAGCCCACGCCGACGCACACTTGATATCTATGGTCGGCCTGTGAATTTTGGGCTACCGATATCCACGCTGAAAATTCCACACTTGTACCAAAAATACGGTGTGGAAGCAAGCTGGTCGGGTGTGAGGACAAATACTCGCCACCGAAGACATTGGCTAGCGGTCGCGCCATGTTGTGAATTGGCAGAAGTTAGAATTCAAGGACCATTGGATCGGGTCCCGGTGGCTTAATGGTATACGAGCTCGCCTTGTAACCGGAAGGTCCTGGATTCGAATCCCGGTGGGTGCGTACTGATGAAGAGTCCCAAACTAGGACGAAACAGCTGTCCAGTACTCCCAGGTTTTCCAGTGCTTCTCTAACTAATGTCAGCTCATGATGAAATCCATAAAAAATAAAATAAATGCTTCGATTAGTTTTCTGTTGTGTATCACTTGACACATGCCACATTCATATAGCTGTTGAATGAGGTTGATAAAAATTTGGGGCACTCTGTATTGTCGAAGTAGTTTTTAAAATCACTTCGCGGTCAACGTTGTCTGTTGAAGGCCTTCTTCAAGTCAATGAAGTTGAGGCAGAGATTTGACTGTCATTCTATGCTCTATTCTATAATGATGTGTACACCTGCAATTTGATCAGCACATAATTTGCCTTTCCTGAATCCAGCTTGTTCCGGTGGGTGGAGGAGTTCTGCATCCAGTAGATCCTTTATTCTCTACAGGATGATGAGACTTAGTACTTTGCTTGGCTTGGACAAGAGCATTATTCCACACCAGTCAGTTCTTGCAGAGGCTTAAATCGCCCTTCTTTGGCAGCTTGACGAGGTAGCTACCCTTTCTTCCAATCGGTAGGCACCTTTCTTTCCTTCAAAACCTTTTGCAGTAATTGTGTGAGCACATCTGCCGCAGTCTCTGGATCCGTTTTTCAGTGCTTCGAGGAGGATTCCATGTGGTTCTGCCTTCTTCCTGGCCCGTGTTCAACAGCTTGATCATATTCAAGATTTCTGCTTTCGTTGGAGGACTGGTGTCCACTGACAGGCAGTTCTGTGCGTGCTGTCGGTGTTATTTGTGGGCGAGTTGCAGGTGATGGTCGATTCATCAGTACTTTGAAGTAACCAGCCCATTGTTTTATTTGTTTCTCCTCCTTCCTTGGTAATCAGGTTCCCTAGAGCATCTTTTATTGGTTTTATCATCTGGGTTGATCTCTTCCCGGATAGAGACCTGGTTATCTGATATAACTAATGCTCTGAGGTCTCTTTTAACTATGGCCTGCCTGTTCTGCTTCAGTTTCTGCCCAGTGTGTCATAGAATTGTCGTTTGTCTTTTCTAGCACTCCTGTTCACTTCTTGATTCAGTGCAGTGTACGTTGAACTCTGCTTCTCCTTCTGTTGTGCATCTTTGCACTGAGTCATCTTCTCTTCCACCAACCTCCTCTCCTCGATTAGCTTCTAGGTAGGTGTCTGTTGAGAGCCATTCCTTGTCTTGTCTCTTCTCTCTTCGTAGGACAGTTGTACACATTTCCTTGAACATCACCTTCAGAGAGTTAGTTCCAATGTTTTTCCACGCAAGTTTCCTCAGTGATACCACATAGTGTCTTCGACTTTGCTCTGACCTGATCTGTAGTGAAGGTATCCTTTTGTAGTTATGTCCTTCAGTTTCTGAATGTTGAACCTGAATTACAGTAGCCTGTCTCCAGTTGTTCTGAAAGAGTCAAGCATCTAGTTAGTCCTTCATTTAATGCAGATGGAATTCTATCAGTCAAGTTTACAATGGTGTCCCACATTAGTAAAATCAAGTCACACACACACGCACACTCTCCCTGTGTGAACAGAGATAATTTATTATTACGTCTAAGCTAACTTGGATTACCACAAGTAGTGTGTTTAGAAGACAAAAGAAGAAATTTGAGCAAAGAATATCCACACTTTCGATAACTTCTTCATCTGATCCTACAATCTTATATATACACACATAATATTTAAAGAGCAAATATTGATTGATAATATTGATGTTTTTCGTTTAAATAATAATATCGAGGTGATTTAAGTATACAACTTGGGCACTGTGATGGTAGAGTATAACTCCATTATGGAGAAGATTTTATTTTGATAAAGTGTCACACACTGTTGTTATACAATAATATTAACTGATGACCACGCTTGGAGCACAACTGATTACTGCTCATAATCAAAGCAAGTTACTCACACGACTTTCTTGCTTCATTTATATACATGAGTGGAATTGATGATTAGACATTTGAATCTAAATCAATATAGGATAATGTACATTAAGAAATAATAATAATACGAGTGGTATTGATCAATTAAAATCAGGCGGCAAATAGAACGAATGTTCTTATAGTCATAATAAGTAACGTGTTAGAATGTTGTGAAGTGCTTGAATTGAAATAGAATTTTGAGATTATTTATTATCCGCCTCTGATTTGACTGACTGACTGGTGGTGATAATATCTTCCATATTTCTGGTATTTGCATTGAGTCATTTCTGTTGCATATGTTGGGTGTAGACACGATGAACAAGGATTCAGTAATCAACGTCTCTCTCCACCTACCTAGATTACTTCTTAGAATTTTAACCCTCTCCCACCATGCTATTGTGTGGTTGTGTGTGAATGCACACAGAGCAATCGCTGAGGTTCTTTTCTAAATTACTTATCTTCGCGGGTGGGATCAACCATTCTTACCTTAGCTAAATTCTTATGTTCCGACAATCTGATTACCCCCGATCTACTAGTTTGACCTATATAGTTTACCTCAGAGTCATTGCAAGGTATTTTATAAATTATATTATTTTGTTTAATTAACTCCATCGGGTCTTTTAACCTATAGAATGAGTTTGTAGGTTTGAATGTCACCCTAATTCCTGCTTTCTTAAGAATCATTTCCACACATGTACATAAATGAAGCAAGAAAGTA